TTAAGTCAATGAAAAATTAAAGCTAATTTCTAATAAGCTTATGTTACATTCATAGACTAAAGAGCACTTGTCAAACCCAGCAAGCAAGCACACCTTTCCCTAGGAAAAAGATTTTTACATCTGAAAGGTAGAGGCCAGAAGTGAGCTAGAATAAAATGCTCCATTTTAGACTGACTCTGAAAATTTCTAGTTTTTCTGTCTGCTTTAGGCTAATGTAAGGATACAGAATAATCACAGAAATAAATTATTAATCTAAAATTCTGGGATAAGATTGCCAAGACTGGTAAGTGCAAAATATGGTCTAGGTAATGGGATTAGACATCTAGAAAATGTGTGTTTAATAGGGACTTACTATTGCTCCATTCTGGTATTCTAGGCTTAGTATCTCAAACCAAGAGAGTAAGAAACAGTCTGAAAAAAATAAAAAAGCCAACACACAACATTATGAGTTTTAAAATAGTGTGGATTTCCTGTCTTAAAAATCTGTAATTATGCAAAACAAGTCTAGATTTTCTCAGGGTTTAAAGAAAAGCTTGTGGGAAACTCTGCTACCGATTACACGGGTCTGTGCTTGGAGGAGCTGCGTTAGGGACAACAGAGCTATGTTGGCTTCGCACTGGTACAGCTGAGGACAGGATCTGATCCTAACGTTGCCAAAATAAATCCTGCTGCAAGGGAGGATGCCTGAGGGAAAACTGTATTAATATGAACACAGCACGTTTTGCAGAAAGCTAAATGCAGAGTTATTCTTTCTTTTTCTTTTTTTTTCCTGCAAGATATACCACCTCCTTAATGACACAAATTGTCTTCCCACCTGCATTAGCGATCCTGTTTAATTAAAACTCTAAAGGCTTCCTTTATGATTAACTATGGGGTGCGCATGCCTATAGCTCCCATCTTATACCTAAAGTACAATACTGTATCTCCCACATTTCTGAAACATCAAAAGCCATTGAATAAACTTTGGCTTTGCATGTTCCAAACAGCTCCCGAGTAAACCTGTTCAGAGGGATAATTGAGACCGTCTCGTGACCACGGCGCTCAGTGGAAATCACAGCGATACAAAAAATGAAAGCCTGAATGGAGATTCAGATAAGAGAGCATTTCAGATTAAAGGAATTCAGATAAACAGGATTTTAGCTGACCTTAACATTTAAAGGAATGGAATATATCCCCCTGTAGATAGCTTCCTATTTAATCCCTCTGAAATATCTAAAAGGTTAGCAAAATACACGCTGCCACAATTAACTCGGAGCACGCGGCCGTGCTGCAGGGAGGGAATGAGATGCTGGGCACATCAGCAGGGCCTGGGTCCGTCTGCTCCGTGAAAACCGGGAAAGCGAGCGGAGCCGGGCACGGATGAGCCGGGACCATCCCCATGGGGTCTGCCACCTCCTCCCACATTCTCCAGCCAAGGGCACCAGGGCTGCCACAGCTGCTCATCATTTTACCTCTAATTTGGGTAATTCCTGAAGCAAGAGAAGCCTTATTGAAATTTAGGATAGAGCATCCAGGAGGGGAGGTTTTGTAGGGGGAAGATGGGACTCACGCTGTCTGCTCCAGGTCTGGTTTGCTTGCAAGGGCTTCCAGGGGACACTCCAACATGCAGTTTTCCTACACCTCCTGTTCTCTCAGTGAACTCAGCCTAAGTGAGGTCCCCAATTAACCTAATGCAATTAGCACTGAAGCACTCCATGTGTGAGCATTTGCATTTTAACCTGAACATACACAAAATAGCAGCTCTCCTGCAAACGAGTGTGCTGTTGGCTCCAAGGTGTTTGCACATGCATGCACACACAGCTGCAAGCACACATCCCAACAGCACAGCAGACCGGGAAGAGGAAGGATCCTTGCTCATCTTCAGAAAGCAATCAGTGTAACCAGCCAAGACTGCATCCTGCTGGGGGCTACACTCTTCTTCTTTAACCTAGCAGGGAAATGACAACACACGCCTGCTGTTGATTTCAGACATACTAGTTATAAATGGGAGGTTAAGCGTAAGCAGCGCTGGAGCAGGCTGCAGAACTGGATGCAGTGCCAGGCTGAGCCCTTGCCTTTCACTGCATTTGACACTTCCTTCATGTGGAATAATCGTCAGCCTCACACTGTGCTGGCATGTCACAGACCTGATTTTGGACCACACTTGAGCAAGTTTAACTTCTCTTGTGCCATGTAAGAGCCTTTTCCCAATGTGCTTTTAATCTTTTAGGTACAAACACTATGCTTTCCATGCTCCCTACAAAGTCAACAGGTAGATAAGCCTATCTGCCTGTTTGGATAATTTTCAACAATAATGACAAGCAGCAAAAATCTTAGATCTGAGCTGCTTCTCAGGCTCTGACTTCTGCTTTTGGCTGCCTGCATGCAGCTCATGGAAACTCTACTGGCCTGTCTCCAAGGAGCGTGGGTCTGTACAGTGTCGTGATCTCCTGGCTCACACATGGGAATTGCCACTTTTCCCTCTGCCAGGCACCTGATCCGGCCTTCACCCTCCTGGTACACGTGGAAGAACATTGTCCTACATACCACAGTCCACAGGGGTGGCAACCGTAGCATCATCAAAACATGGTACTCTGCTACTAACTGTGTTGTCGGGCACTCTTTACAGGCCTTGTTTCTTCTTTTTTCCAGCCTTCCTCCATGCTCCTACCATCTATAGGTCTCTGAAGGCTTGTATCAACAACATCTTTAAAGGAAACGGGCTCAGTCTTCCTCTTGATCTTCACATAAATCACTGACATCAAGGGGGCAGTCCCACGTGTGGAATGAACACACAGAATATGCTGTTTCAGATGAAGTTTTGTGGCTATTAGGATCAGAAGGCCACGTGAACAGAACACCACTCTGTCTGGTGTGAGTGGGTTGGGAAACCTTCAGATGTTCCACGATCGTGAACTTTTCTGATCTTTTTCAGGCCACGCCTAATTAGTACCAAACTCAGAAAGCAAAATTTTGAGCCTGAATTATTTATCACGTCATATTTATAAAATGCACTGCAATACACATCATGGCCCAGTACACAACAACTGCAGATGATAAGATTAATCTTTTACTGATGCTATACTCCTTAATATGAAAATATAATTATCTAGCTGAAGAGTTTCTGAAATTACATACTTTCAAACTACCAGGAGCAGAATTTATCCTTGTGTTTGGTGCTAAGCCAAGTGGAAAAAACACTGAAAACAGAACTGACAAAACATATGTTGGCTCTGTTTGTCCATCATCATTTTCCATGCACACCTTACGCGGTCCTGTCAATATCTCAGCTCTAACCTGGTCTGGAATACTAATGCAATATTTCCCTCCTTAACTGGAATATGATCCTGAAGCCCTAGAAATCAGTGGGAGTTTCAAACACGCAGGCACATGTTGGAGGATAAAGTGCTTCATTGGCAAGAAGTCCCCTGTACGTTAACAAATTCTTCATTATCAAAATAAAAAACAAATAGAAGGAAAACGAAAAAGAGGAGGATTTTGCAGAAATTACTCCTATGTTTAGCAGGAGTACAGATGTCCATGTGTTTGTGAGAGTAAGTATAGAATATGTGTTGCACGTGTCTCAGAAAAAAATAAACACACCTTTTTTCTGCATAGTCCCGAAATACAGAACACACAGCAGATGAGCACAGGAAACACTCTCATGGGTAACAATACATACAGGGAGATGTATAATACATCTTCAGAGTAATGGTATAGATATATTTTGCTTTCTTAGAAATTATGGCAAATAATGGAATTTACTATACTTTTGGACCCCATTTTGTCTCATGAAGAGAGTCATAATGATGGCAGGAAAACCTATCGGCTGCTTTTTTGATGGTCATCAATAATACCCAGCAGTGTTTTAAAGCCTGATAGATGGATATACAGACGGTAAGGAGTCTCAAGGAAAGATGAATGCAGCCCAGTGAGTAAAGGACACGAGCTGGGGGCAGTTAGTGAGTTTATCAAATGGAGTTTCTTATGGGAAGAATGCCCTTTTTGGACACGTATGTCTAGTATGTTTAAGCAGCTGCTGTTCTAAGCAGTGTACAGAACTTCCTGCTTTACACTGCTGAATTCTAAAATGAGGTTTTTCATTTTCAAGTTCTTGACCTAAAGAGCCTTTGCTCTTTGCCCCTGCGTTGGGCCATGCATGGATGCAGGGACATGATGCAGCATCCCAAAAGTGGCTGCTGCTGCCTGCCTCGCACCACCTAACTTGTGCTTGTTCAGAAAGCAATTCAGTTCCCAAAAAAATTGCTGTTAATACAAATGCATCTTGATTGCCAGTACCACTAGTGGGCAATAATATCAGCTCAAGGTCTCCAGGGCTTCTACAGGGGAGATTAACTGCTATGTTAGGCAGCTAAGTATGAAATACAGGGGGTCAATAACTTGGAGACGTGGCAGCACAGAGCCAAGCGCAGCTCTGCGGATTGCACCGAGACCCCAGCCCGGCTCTCGGACTCTCACACTTCACTGCACGTTTCTCCCTGTCTCTTCGTACTCCGGAGGACTTTTTGTCAAACTGGCATTAATCTGCTCTCCATAAGTGCCTTGCGGTGTGATACAAAGCACGGGAGAATGGGAAAAGCAGACAGACAACTCTATTTTTTGTATGATAATACAACTGTAATGACTCTGAGTACCCAAAGACTCTCCTCATCCCAGGTATGATGGTGCCAGGATTCACCATACTGCAACTGCACTCCCTCGGAGAGGACCATTCAAGGAGAAACTTTGCAGGATTTCCAGGTGATCTTCATTCCCCAGAGGACTCTTTACAGACAGCTGACATCTGGCTCCAGGTTTGGAACCATCTTTAACTAATCTGAATACAAATTTAATCAATGCCAATTACTCTGTCACCATCAGAAGTGATTTAAATATGAGTAAGTTCAGGTGATCTTGTCTCAGTCTATTATTTAAAAGTCCAGTGCTATAACTGATGCAATAGCTAAAAAGACGAAAGAAAAGAAAAAAAGGAGATTTATAAAGATACTTGGGAATTTTACCTGTCCATCCAGCAAGACAGCAGCAGTAACCGGTGACAGGATCACATCCATCTGCATGGCTACAGTCACAGCGTTCACTGCAATTAAGACCATATGTTCCATCCTTCCAAAAACATAAACAAAAAACTCTCTCAGTAATCAGATTTTTATTCTAAAATGTGCCAAATCATCTATCATGTCCGTTTTAATGCTGAGTCGCATTTTTTAAATTAGCATACAGTGCAGACAGAAAGAACTCAGTGCCTAACATCTCTATAGAGAACCAAATAACGAATCACTTTAACAAATGATGCCCAAGAAAACGCAGATAACACTGCAATAGCTCTGATAAAGCATAGTACAAAACATAATCCATCTCCTTGACTGCTAGAACCTCAATCTGTTTTTTTACACATGATTTCCTTCAGAAATCCACAAACAAAATACTGACCCATGGTGTATATAAAAAGGCTGTGTGGACCATGTGGGGCTCAGGGGTGTGCAGGACTCCCCCGGCTATACTTACCGGACATGGCTGGTCGCAGAACTCTCCTTGCCACCCTGGGGAGCAGAGGCAAAAGCCATCGACTGGCCTGCAGGCTGCTCCATTGCTGCAGGAACACGTCTGGTTGCAGTTAAGGCCCCAGCTTCCGCTTGAACACGGAATAGAGCAATCAACTCCTTGCCATCCTAAAGAAACACGTAACAGAAACAGCGTTGGGAACGTTTTCTCCTCGCAAATAGAGGTACCACCCCATGGCCTCTTTGCCAGCTTAAGATGCCCGATGCTTTTCCTTTGAGACAGGAGGTGAGAGCGCAGCGACACCCGGCAGGCTGGAGAGCTGCCGTGCGGCGAGAATACAAGAAACTCCCTGCATGACGCTGCTGGTTCCTTACCTCCCAGATTTGTAGGAATGCTCTTTAATCTAAAGAAGTTATTGCACCTAAAAAAGGGGTCCAAACCATCATTTCTAACTATTAAGGCTCAGATCTTAACTACCAGTCACACTACAGCTTTCATTGCACTGCAGCTGTATGCAATGGTGTTGAGCAGTAACTCATGGTTTATGCACCCTCATTAAAGGAGGTTGTACAGTGATTCATTAATTCATGTTTGAAATGCCAGGTTTTATTGTTGTTTGCCTCACTGCTGTTTTAAGGCTTATGAATGCCACACAGGCGTAGCTTGGGGTGAGGCTTTGCAGGAATTATGCCACTATACAGGGAACATAAAAAACACTACATGGTGCAGAGGCATGAGGTTTTCCAAGCGAGTACTGGATCCATGCCTCATATTCACTACCAAACACATAAGGGAAGTATGGACATATCTATGGGAAGAGGTTAGTCCCACAGTACTTGAATGAGATGAGCAGAGACAGCAGCAGGGAGCCCAGATCATCAGGCAAGCTCACAGTACCAAGGCAAACCTGAAGCCAATCCCCAGCTCAGGATCAGGTCTGCTGAGTGGTCAGACCAGCCCTGCAATTACCAGGCAAGTCTGAGGTGAAGGCAGGAACCAGTCCATGGGTTTGGATCAGTGAGGTCCATAGCTCTGGTGAAGCTGGAGACCAGCCCTCCCAGAGCACAGCCCAAGGCTGTACTGAAACAGGCACCTGGGCACAGGCTGAGCTGAAATGGGCTCCAGGGCAGGGTGGGTAGAGGCCACAGGTGGAGCTGGTCAGGGCCAGGAAGATGTATTGGTGCCCTCAGGGCCCTGGCCTGCCTGGCAGGGCAAGGGGCTAGAGGAGGGGCAGGTAGGAGTCTGTGCTATAAAGAGATAAAGTGCACTGCCAACCCCCTATTGAGTTCTGATGCCTGGACAGGCTCTTGAATTACCAACAGACACAAAGAAGTAGTGGAGTTACTGACTGCACTTCTCTACAGCTTACGCGGCAGAGAGCACTTGTGCTAGACACTGTGTAGACAGTTTCTAAATGTGAATTTTGTTTACCTTCCTTGCAAATGCATAGGCCATCCACATGGGAACATTCACCATCGTTTTTGCAATCACAAACAGATGAGCAATTGGTACCGTAGGTTCCTGCCATGCAGGTAATGGAGCAGTCATCTCCCTGCAAACCAGAAAAACCAGAGTCAGCTAAAGAAATCTGAATTGCAGGAAATTCCCATCTCTGCACAGGGAGGCTTTCTATTTCAAAGCAGCAAACAGAGCATTATCAGTTGATTGCTGAGTCTTCGGCACTTGAACAGTCACCACTGCTTGCTATGATTACGATGCAATTAGTGCTTTGATTGACTTGGAGGAAAGGGACAAGTCTCTGGCAGGTGTGTAAGTTACAAAAACAAAGCTCCTAGAACAGATGTTAGATCATTAAGCAAAACATCACTTATGAAACACTAATCACAAAATATACAGTCTGAAACTGTGCAACGATTGCTCTGCATTTTCCTGAAAATATATTCTAAGAATAGGGTCGTTAGAAAGCGAACGGAGGGGTTGCATGCTCATCCTCTGCACATCAGACGAGTGGAAAACTACACGGCAGGTGCACTAGACCTCGTTGAGGACACGCTGGCACGGCTGGTACCTCCACTGGTTTCCAGCAGACGTGCCCGAGATGGTGACTTCAGAAAAGGCTGAGAGGGCAGAGATGGTACGAGAGGAGAGGTGGTGCACGGAGCAAACCACAGCCCGGGGCTGCTCCGGGTCAACTCCTGCCCGAGGTGCCGGGGAGCCAAGGGAAGAGAACAGCAAGGGAGCCACAAAAGGGAGCTCGATCCCTTCCAAACTGCAGTCCCACCAGCTAATCACTGTATGTTGGCACATATAGGATATTTTTGCTCCATTTTCCTCTATGCACAGGCTTGACTTCCACATCACAACCTGGCTGCTGGAATTTACTTCTTCAGTGAATCAAACTGTAATAATTTAGATCTGTATCTCAGAAAGCTATCCTGCTCTGAAGCTAAACAGTTCTACATTGCACAGAGTGACCTATATTGTAACTCAACAGAAAAAATACAAGTCAAAAAAAATACATATTTCCAGGTGAGAGGCTTCACTGTTCAATGGGACCATCCATTTATCAGGAAATAAATGCACAAAATGCCATCAACAGAAAAAATACAAGTCAAAAAAAGATACATATTACCAGGTGAGAAGCTTCACTGTTTAGTGGGACCATTCATTTATCAGGAAATAAACGCACAAAATGCCCATTTCCCTGTGTCGCACAAAATGCCCATTTCCCTGTGTCACACAAAAACCTCCTGACTCCAGGAGCCTGTTTATCACAGCATCCAACACAGAGACAGTAAAAGGGAACCCAGGGAGATTTCTGGGTGCCACAGCCCCCCATTTGGTTGTTGCAGCCGTTCAACTTAGTGCTAAAATATCTTCTGCTCTAGACTAAAAAATTGGTTTTAGAGGGAGAGCAAAAGAAAAGGTTAAAGTCCGTACTGCTCAGCAGTAAATCGACCATGCCACTGATCTTTGAGCGAAAGCAGCGTTTGCAGAGGATGCTATCTTTGACCTTGGCAGAGTAAAACAGGCTCCCCTGAAAAGGCCTGGCCACGAAAGGGGCTGTCTTGACAGCCAGAAAGCCCCAAAGCTGCTGCCCTCCCTGGCCTGCCCAGCACAATCCTCATCACTCCACACCTTTCTCCTGTGCCCGGCAATTAGGCAGCCAATTAGCACCACTTAGGAAGCTGCTCCTTGTGTGCACGAAACTCCCAACTCATTTCATGTACAACGCAGAACGGCTTGGGCTGCTACTAATTTCTGTGACAACTGACCTCACCTGGGCTTGAACTAGCGATCTGCTAGGATAATAAAATGTCTTTGAAAAGGGAGTAAAGCAAGAGTGATGTGGAGGGAAAATGTTCCTGTGGAGGCTGGAATAGCTTAAACAGAATATGGGCCTTGGGTGGAGTGAGATCATGGACACAGGGGACATCTCCCTGGCCACATGCATGGCAGCCTGGTGCAAATTCATGTGTTTTCTGGAAACTTCTATCAGTCTGCACAGAGGGCAGTAAGACACAGCTGAAGCTCTTTAAGTACCAAGAGAAGAGGTAGTGGTGTCCTCGAGTTAATGGTCAGGATGTTTGGAAGATGCTGACTTTAATGCACTCTGCTTTATGGACTAGCAGAAGCTGCTCATTCTGGCCCTGCCCTTTTACGAACTTATTTTGCAAACAAACTTTAACTGAAAAACTTACCACCTTAATGAGATTTCTACCCTGGCTTTGACAAAGTGTGACCTTTGCAACTCTCTGAGTGACAACTGCCAAATACACTTAATTACATAACAGGAAAATGCACTTGAACTATTGCATCAGCTCTAAGATATTATTAATTATGAATGCGCACCCAATCATTAACATTTTGAACTTGATTTGGAAGAATGACCTAGGAAATTAAATGCATGCAGGTATCGTTACAGATATGTAAATTCCACCTCCCTCTCACCACCTGCCCGGCTCGATAACACTGCCGGATACTCCTATCCAGTTGTTAATGAGTTATACATTCTATTAAACTGATTTCAAATGTTATGTATTGAATCTTTGCTCTCGCAATATGGTACTTTATATTTCTATCCTATTTAGTAAAATTAATCAGCAGCTGTGCTCCTTATGTTGATTATTCTTTCTTCTACTAAGTTCAGGAGGCTAATGAGTGTACTGAAAAGCCTGGATGTGGTATATATGATGGGAAGCAGTAGCTAATTCAATCAAACATATACCCCTGCAAATGTTAAAGCTATATTAAGAAATCTAGCTATAAATAACCTGATATTTTACATTTTTCTCTCCCAAGTCAGAATGATCCATATGGACATCACAAACTTTCTAAAGTGCTTCATTTTCTTCATCATTTTCTGCTAGAAGGCCCAATTTATCAAAGTATCTCCCTGATGTCTGTCTAACATATTATCTCTTGATTTTAAGGGTCACATGTGACTTTTACCTAATCACTGGAAAATCTTGCCTTATTGCATGTTGGATTGGGGCCAGTCCCAGCAAATGCTCCTCTCCTCGTGCAAAGCAGTGTGGTTCTGCCCTCTCTTCTTCGTGTTACCTCTTCCTGCTGCCAAATGTGGGAGACGGTGCCTCAGCACAACCAGAGACAGGGTATCCCCCATCTCCTAGCAGCTGCTCAGAAGCTAATTGGAGGGAGCCCTTTCTCTTGGTTGAAATCCAGGTCTGATGGGAGCATCACAACACAGCAAGGACATGGGTGGGCTTTGGTGAGAGGTTTGAATCAGAATGAATGACAACAATAGTGTCACCAACACCATCTATATGACTTTTCCTACCTTTAAAGTACTTCAAAAATACTAACTAAGTGTTGCTGAAACAACTAAAAACTAAATGATAGGCTCCTACTATAAGAAGAGGTTTGGGCATACAGCTCCTGTTATTGTTAATTCTCCCCTATGTATTGAGGGTTAGGTCCAAGGAACCCAACTCCATTAATAACTCAAGCTGCCAGCTCACATCCATCAGCATCAAATATTAATAGACTCAGGAGGGCCAGAGCATACATCTTTCCGGATGGCAGTCAATAACGTGTCTTGTTTCCATCCAGGTGAGGTGAAGATTTTCTTACTCAAAAATTATTATTGTACAATATAAGTAAGAGCTAAAAGATGCACTGCAGCCTTATCCCTAAAATACATTTACAAGGGAAAAAAAAAGTGGTATCCAACAGGAGTTAACATTTTAGCAACAGTCAAAAACATGCAGCAATGTCTGCACTCTCACTGATCTCTCCTGAATTTTGACTATTTAAGACACATGGAATTAAGAAGTCAGAAGCTGCTGCTCTTTAGAGGAATAAATCTGCTTCGGAGGGTTGAAACCTGGTTCCACCGAAGTCAGTGGCAACACAGAAAATCAGTTTTTCAAGACTTATGCAATGTAGAAGGCTAAAAGGGCTGTTACTGAACCCGGCCTTAAGTTTGCATGACAAAGACCTATGCGACAGGTTCATTTGCATGTTCTTAGGGTTTCATCTGCAAATCCTCACCTCCTGCACAGACTGGGCACAGGGAAGCAGACAACATTTAAAGGCAACACATTTGAATCTGCAGCGATCTGTAACGTGACTCCAACTAACCTGAGCATTTTAATACAGAATCTGGATTCCTCTCGCTCCCTCTCCTTGCCTTATTTTTGTGCCAGATGAATTAACGTGCAACACCTGTCAACAGCAAGGGGACAGTTTAAAGCTTGGGCTTCTCAGGGCTCACAATGCAGGCATTAAACAGAGAAAATATCCTGGACCAGCGCCATGTGTATGTAGTGATAAACAGATCAGAAAGACAAAATGCGGGTGCTGCTTGTAGCTGATGTCTGCATGTCCAGATAAGCTGCTCGGTATGGATTTAGTACATAAAAGTACATATTTATATGTACACACATAACGTGGCACACCAGTGTACTGGTACACAGTGTCTGTGCTGTGATGCAGATCACAGATACGGTTCTGTATATTTACTTACTTAATTGTGACATTTACAATTAACCCAAAGTGGTTCTCCAAGAGCATTCCCTCAAGGTAAACATATGGTATCCAGCAACACAAACTGGCAGAAAAAACTAATTTCCCTAATGGTATTCCAATGGAAATTAATGTGCTCTTCGTAGGCATATTAGCAATGATACCAAACTTTGAACTTTTATCAGTGTTTTCCCTCACCCCAGACTCAAGCAGTTTATTCATGACCTTGCTGTACATCATCTGTAGTTTTCCAGACGTAATGATGTCCTCTGGCACAATTCCTTTCCCCTCTGGGTGCTACTAATTACTCCCTGCAGACGCTGTTATTGGTGCTAACACAGGAAAAAGGTTAGGGAGGATCTTGTACCTCACAGAAATCAGATGTTCAGGTTGTAGGTAATCACTAAAAAAAACTAACTAAAAGTTACTAAAAACTTACACCTTTTCCTTTTCTGTCTTTGCAGAATTATACAATGTAGCTGTGCAGGAGATCAAAATACACCTAGAACAGCATCAGCCCCAAGTAAGTTTTCGGTCCATGTTTCCCATCCTCTTATTTTTCTGCTGTACATCATCTGTAGTTTTCCAGACGTAATGATGTCC